TATAATCCCATGATCCTGAAGAACTCTCAATACTATTTCTATTCTATACACAGAATGTCCAGCTAATTCCAAGACAAAAAGAATGAGTGAATTCAAATAATGAATCTAATTTACTAAGTGAGACATAAATGAAAATCTGGTCCTAATGGGCTAGAGCTATATAAAGTTGAAAAAAATACCTGAGGAAATAGAGATCAGGGAGAGGGAAAGTACACACATCGATTTTCTTTTACATTGTTTCTAAATTAATTCAAATTACTGAAAATGAGTTGTGAGCTCTCAAGTTAATATGCAATATTATTGTCCCAACTCCCAATGGATGAACACTACTGTAGCAAATATGGCTTAATGCTCTTTTTCATATCTCATAAAGATCCCCAAAACTTACCAATCTGGCACCTTGTCCCAAGAGCTTGAAATATTTCACAGTCACATGTACCAGTCTTAGAACAGAAAGCTCCGTTAAGGCATTCATGAGGGCAAGAACCTGAGGGACAAAATAATAACTCATCTTCTGGCATGGATCAGTTCTTGTAAACATAATATGTCAAGATCTACTTAGGCTAACTATAACAGCTATTAACTTAAACAGAACCCTGGGCCTTTTGCCTTGCAGTGCTAAAGCATTAAGCCATCAAATTTCTATCCATTCATTTCATTATGTGTGCTGTGAAGCACAATAGACAGGCTTTCACATCTCAAAGTACTTTGAGGTAAGGGTTAGCCTCCTTCAAGCAATTGAAAGGTCACTTTCCCATGTAAGGAATCCCTGTCTCAGATGAGGAGAAGCAGAATTCCTAAGCCATAGATGATTCCCTGGATGGAGTTTGAAGCACATCTGACCAATGCTCCCCGGTCTCCGGGAGAAAGGTCTGTATTGAAGAAAAGTTCAGACCTCATTCACTTCAGGGAGGGCTCACGAGAAGTGTAAAACTCAAAAGGAAACTCCTACCTTCTCTGAAAACCGTGACACATTTCATTTGAAGTTTGCCTGTTAATACCCAAGCTCAGTTATAAATAACGCAGTCTTTGGAATCTGTGCTTGACATGGATGAGGCAGAAATCAAACTCACTGCTGGCTGTCCAAAAAAATTATTCTTTCACAGAAAAAGATTGCCTCCAAAAGAACATTAAAAAGATGAATCAAATAGTCACAAGCTTTACCCTAATTTTGCCTGCATCTTCCAAGGGAATTTAAGAATGCAAATGAATCGCAGTGAAATCTTTTCTTCTGTTAAGGAGAGGACACACAGCAACTGGCAAAACTCAAGCAGGAAGGACTTAACTAACACATCAAGAGCACAGAGAACATCTCTGAGTCACCATAAAGTGTTGCTAAATAAGCTAGTCTTGTCTGGAATATGTCAACTTTGCGTAAGAAACTTATCTAACTGTAACTTCTCCACAGTATGCCAAAAATAAGAACAAGAAAGCCCTATTGTTAACTATTCTCCTTACATTCCATTGATGTCTCTTTATATTCAGAAACCTAGAAATCTCAAGTAACTTTTAATTGAGGGGAAAAAATGAGCTGTTTTAACATAAACCATAAATATAGGTGAAACTGACATCTTTTATAAACGTAATAAGCAGTTTAGTTTTCCCTTAAGGGATGCTATCTTTAATCTTTATTTTGGATGAAGTAGTCTTACATCTTTCCAGTGGGTAGGTGCCTAAATACTTAGATAAACAAATACATCTTTATTTACACTGCTGTTTATTCTCCTGAAAACAAATATCAAACCAAATCTGGAAAGCATCATAGTGACTTTAAAAATAATGATAAGAATTTATGTTTCAGGACTCGAGAGATGGCTCAGCAGGAGGCCACAACTGGCTAAAATTAGAGAATAAGAGACTGCAGAGTGTGTGTCCCTAGATAGGATTTGTATTAAATCTCACCCACCATTGTGGAACAGGGGGTGGAAAGATTGTGAGAGCCAGAGGTGGTGTATGACCATAATCAAACAGTCTTCTGAGCTTCTGGAAACTTGCTTATATGAACTTAGAGCAATGTTGACAGCATGCACAAGAGCCATGCAAACTCAATCAGACAAAAACCAGCACAGACCCAGGGAATGGGTAGTAGGCCCAAACCTTAGCAGAGGAGATACTGGCAGCTGATCACTGCTGGGTGAGGGAGGGTTGATCTTCCTTAAAGGAGTGATGCTAGATAGGCTGAACAGGCTTCAGTGGATGAACTCAGCCGGGGGAAATCTGAGGACACAAGCTTGACCTGATAAGCCTTAACATAATCCTTTTAAAACAGATTTAAGACTTACTGCAAATAATTATGAATTACTAAACAACTACAGATGATTAGTCCAGCTTTGCCAATCACATTTGTCAGAAAGCATGAAATCCAGTGGGCAGGCTGTGGAGGAGGTACAGATATGGGAGGGGGTCTAAATATGATTAAGATGTATTGTACAAAATGCACAAAATTTAATAAAAATATATATTGAAAAACTAAATAGGGGACTGGAGAGGTGGTTCAGCTGTTAAGAACACTCTCTTGCAGAGGACCTAGGTTCGAGTCCCAGCACCCATATGGTGGCTAGCAACTGTCCATAACTTCCCTTCCAGGGGAGTCCAGTGCCCTCTTCTGACCTTCTCAGGTATTGCATGACATGGGTGCACTTATACACATGCAGACAATATACTCATATACATAAAATAAAAATAAGATTAAAAACAAAAACTCGAAAATAAAATTTGAAAATTAAAAAAAATAAATAAAAATAAAAATCACATACAATCTTGTTGATAAACGGAATTTCTGTTTATAGTCACCACTCATCAGCATTCTGCTTAATGGAATTGGAAATTATTAAGACAAAATAAGGATGTCACAAAATCGAGGAATTTGCATACACAGTGATATCATCTCAGGTCATATAATTGCCAACTTTTTCTAAATGTTTAGTTCTGGCGTTTCCAAAAGTGATTTAGATTTGTATAGGAAGTGAACTTAAATGGTTTAAGTTATTAGCACCTTGGCTAAATATCTTCCAGAATATTTATGGAAGCAATCAAGAACTGAGTCCACACACCCCCAAGGGATCTTTTCAGGAAGCAAACACGAAAGCACAGGAGCCAGCACTGACCTTTTATTTTGCTCTCACCCCAATTAATAGACTCATGGAAAAAGTATCTTGGAGAAGATGCTTCAGACTTTAAAACAAAGAAATAAGAATTCAAATTAGTTAAATCATTCAGTGTAAACTAAACATGCATACAGAGGAGTCTGGAAACCTGCTACAAACACAGAAATTGTACAGTAGTGGCCATGTATCCTCTGATGGCTGAGAACATCTGAGTGAGGCAGAAAGAGTTCCTTTGTGGTGAGGTTAGAAGACCTGGATTCAAGCCTTTGTTTTACCTCTTCAGTGACTGACACTCATTTGCTAATTCTGCTCTCTGTCCCCGCCCCTTTTCTTGTTCCTCCCCTGTCCATCACCCCTTTGTCAAAGGAGTCTAGTTGGATCCCAGTGCTTGGATTAACTGGTTCTTTTCAAGCAAAAGCGTAAATTCTCTGGCATTTCCAGATATAGATGGATCTGGGGAAAATAAATACACAGGACTGATGACTAACAGACAGTGATTACCTGCCTACACACCAATCTGTGAAGACACTGCCCACAGAAACGCCTTCTGACTCTGTCATTGCTTCTAGTTAGGCGAATTTCCTAACAGTTTAATGTCTCCATCTATGCATCTGTGAAATGGGAACAGTAATGGTACTTCCTCCATCACATAGTTATGATGGTGAACGGAAATGTTATATACTAAGATTTCAGAGCAGTACCTTCCATATAAATTAGCAATAAAGAAATTTATATTGGTCTAAACAATCCTTTTAAAACAGATTTAAGACTTCCTGCAAATAATTATGAATTACTAAACAACTACAGATTATTAGTCCAGCTTTGCCAATCACATGTATAGTCTGTGGTCATATCCTTACTGATAACACTTTATGTTCACTGGAAGACACACACCCAAAATTTGACACATCGTTGCCGTAGTAAGTAGCTGATGATGTCAGGAAAACTGGAGCAGGGCATGGACAAGCAGGAAGGGAGATGAGGGATGGGCATGAGCAACAAAACCCTTTCTCCACAGATTCCAGCCATTCACATGGAAAGTTTGATCTCAGTGTTTTCTACCTCAGTACTTTTTGTCTTGTGGTGTGTGTGTGTGTGTGTGTGTGTGTGTGTGTGTCCCTGTCTGTCCGTCTGTGTCTGTGTGTGTACCCGTTCATGTGTGTGCACATAGGCAGGGGTATTTGCCCATATGTGCACCTGTGAAGGTCAGAAGTCCACATTTTGTGTCTTCCTCCATCACTCTCCACCTTACTTTTTGAGACATGGCATCTTCACTGAATTCTAAGCTAAGGGATTTGGTGAAACTGAACTCCGTCTTGTTGCCTCTTGTCTCTGCCTCCCTATGCTGGGATTATAGACACTCTTGGCCATGACCAGCTTTTTACATAGGTGCTAGGATCCTGAACTCAGTTCTTTGTGTTTGTGAGGCAGACATTTTTCATATTAGTCCATCTCCCTGCCATCCTCTATACTTTAACACAAAAACACTCCATGCTAAATGAAGCTATTCACATTCTCTCACTAGTTGAAGACTTATTTCTCAACTCCTTTTTCCACACATGGCTACAAGCTCTTTATTCCCTCCTCACAAATTATCCCATGATGTTATCTCCACTGCTCAGTTTCCTCTGTCTTTGCCTCTGCCTTAAAATAAATTAGATTCATAATAGTTTATGACCATGATACCGCCATGGCAGAAAGTCTAATTCTCTCTTCCACCATATTGTTTCCAGCTGCCTAAATCAAATGGACACCTGAGTGCTTACTGACCGACCCATCTTCTTACACTGGCTCTGAACAGCCACTCCTTGTAGTAGAAATTGATCCATCATCCTTGATATGGACAAATATGTAGTGACTCTCAACTGCCTCACAATGATTTAAAACCTTGAACAAATTATTTAGCCTTAGCCTCAGTTCCCAATCTATTTAAAAAAGGAATAGCAGTATATCCCTTACAGAGTCATGAGGACAAAGTGAAATAAGTAACACAATAAGAAGAGTGCCATGCATACAATAAGGTGATAAACATGCTACCTTTTATTAGTAGGCAAAAATTCAATACAGGAGCCAGCAAGATGGCTCAGCAGGTAAAGGCTCTTGCTGCCAACTTTAAAGACCTGAATTTGATCCCCAGGATCCACAAGTTATCCTCTGAACTCAATATGCAACCTAAGTTGACTCATGCACATGCACACACACAAACATACATGCACACTAAATAAATAAATAATAAATGTAATAAAACTGAATACATTGGATGACATAGACTAAGGTAAATGTGTATCATTTTCTCTTCTTGCTCCACTCCACTCTGATCTCCTCTACAAAAATTCCAGTGACCACTTGCACACCAACTTCCTGGTAACCCTGGCATCCATCCTGTTTACACAACACCATAATACATTTCTCCAGTGCAAAGATTAACGTTGAGCTTTAATCTTTGGAACATAGTGGTATGTCATTTTGATCATTGGGAGCATTTTTATTTTATGTACGTAATAGCGAATAATTTGTCGTGACTCAGATTCAGTGAACTATTTGCACAGAAATGACTTCTTTGCAGATCTTCTTCTAGGAGACATTGAGCTTCTAAATTACAAGCACTGTTATTCAGAGAGAGAGAGAGAGAGAGAGAGAGAGAGAGAGAGAGAGAGAAATAGCATATCTTCTGGTACATCACCAGAAAGTACCAACTGAACTGGAAAAAGACATTATTCAAGCAGGAGTCTGCCTCTCACGAGTGTTTAGAGCAGTGACTATGGCAGACTCTAGTAATGGCCCTTCCATTCCATCTCAAATTTACCTGGGTTTCTGTGGACATGGAGAGCCTCCAATGTCAAGCCAAGCCTTCTTTCTCTCTCTTCCAGATAAAATTGAAGGAAGACCTTTGGGGAATTTAAGTCACACAATTCCTCCCCTTGATCCGTGAGAAACGGAAATTGGGAGAAACCTGTTTATCATCCTTATTAGACATCTGGCAGTACCCTTAGTGTGTCACTTATATCACTTAATCCTTGTGATTCTGTTTCTCACCGTTTCCCCAGTTTCCTCCTCATCCCTTGGAGAAACGACTCTAAGAGAGATACTATAGCTCCTGATCATGTCCCCAGTAAAAGTCCCAGATACCTTTATCACCAAACCTCTCAGTAACACACCCTATATTTCATTTTCTCCCTTTCTCCTCTCATTTTGTCTGTCCCTTCTTTGTGTACTTTCTCTAAAGCATGCACTTAAATCTAGGTCTCAGTGCCTGCTTTCAGGAAAAGAATTACTGAAATGTAAAGCAAAAAATGCCAGGCAGTGAGTGCACATATTCACATCACCCAAGAAAGAAGATAGCCATTCTTCCTCCTTCCTGATTACAGCTCCACAGGAGGGTGGGCAGCACCACACTACATGCCCTGTTACGGGGAGATCAGACACTCATACATACACCATTTACAGAAGTCTGTGTCTAGCCTTTCCTTGCTCACATCATTGGCAGATAGTTCTAGGACAGTTATCTATCAATCAGTGTTGTTGGCTCACAACAGAGAAATGAATTTGAGCATGAATGGCCTTCAAGCCCATGAGACTCCAACCTAAGCAGGGCATTGCACAACTGTTTTACATTTCTTCTTTGAAACTTAATCAGACATTAAATGATCTTGATACATATTTCCTGGCTATAGGAAATAGAAGTGCAAGTCTCCTTCTTTCCATTCCCTAAAATGGAAAACAAAGCAAGACAAGTATGTCCCCCAACTATTAACAAAAAGAGGTATTAACCTACCTCCCAAGGAGTAAATTACACAAATTCTGATGACATGGAAATGCATGGTGGTATAGTTTCATCCATAGTGCCCTTTATATGCCCCTTGGAAGACAACTCATTGGCTCATCCAGATTTTCTACTGAGTTACACAGATGGCCTTTTTTAGTTAGTATAGTCTATTGGAAAGCATGACCTTAGAAAAATCATTTGAACCACTTCACATGACATATAGGAATTTATGTACACAAAGCACTCTCTTCATTTTTGTTTCAAGATAGGGTATCACCATATAGCTGAAGCTGGTCTGAAACTTAACATCCTCCTGCCTTAGTTTCCCAAATGCAAAACACTCCTTAAGCTGAAAATGCTCAATCCGTTGTCATTCTGGTAACCCCCCCCCACCAAAGTCTATAGGGGTAGGATGATAACTCAGTTGGTAAAATGCTATACTTACATATATGAGGACCTGCATTTGGATCCTCAGTACCCATATAAAAAGCTAGGTACAGAGACGCATGCCTATAATCCCAGCACTGGGGAGAGAACAGGAGGCTCCTGGGGGCTCCACATCCAGCAAGCTCCAGGTTCAGTAAGAGACTGCCTCAAAACTGAAGTAGAGAGCAGTCGAAAAAGATACCCAATTTTGACCACTAGCCTCCACATGCACAGGCATACACACACACACACACACACACACACACACACACACACACCACCACCACCACCACATATACATACACATACAAAAGGGTCTCCAATCTCAACAAAAATGAATCATGTTTGTCTTCTAAACTGTCACAAGACATATTACATCTCTCTTCATTTACTCATCTTCTTCAGTTTAATACAATATAAAATATATATAAATTCAGATACCTGTCAGGAAGTGCTTGTAAAAACTGTATTTCAGCATCTGTCAAAAGCTTCCTTGAACATTTGAACTGTTAGCATATAAAAATTCAGACTATATAACTTCCCAAAGAAATGTCTTTCCTACAGTGAATCTCTAGCTTGTCATCTATCTCTTATATAGAAATAGCTTCTGAAGTTAGTTCATTTGAACATTCCAACCATAACTGAATGATAACGCAATCCTGTCATACAGGATTCATATAAGAGACCAGGCAATAAGTTCTGAAATTCAGTTGCATCAACTCTTCAGAAACACGTTAGATTTTTAGAAAGCATGGAGGCTGTCTGTCAGAACACCAGGATATGTTGTAGTATTTAACTTATATCATCTCCATTTTTCTCTGTCTCTTCTTATGTGTGCTTTTATTGTTGCTATTATCCTACATAATATTGTGTTTAATTTCTAATACATTCCCATATTCTAGCAAGTAGATGGGATTCAGTCCCCATCAATACTTTAAGTCTATGTGCGTGTTACTGAGATGAACAGGAGAAAGATAAAAAATGTTTCATTTCAAATAAGTCAATGTGAACTGAGCATATATTTGAGGACCACAAAACAAGCTGCAGAGAAGTGCCTTCACCTCTTCCTGCTCCTTCTGTCTTGTGTTTAGCACTTTGTTCCCCTCCACAAAGGTCTCATTGTTGAAATGACAGCAGAGTCCAAAGCAGAATGAATTATTTCTCTGCCTCTCTCGATCAGAGGCATAACCTACCTGCACTGCTAAAAGAGCTCTTTTCTGTCCATTTTCATTAAACTCATTTCTGGAAGAAAACACAAAGAACTTGTGTAGTCAGAGGCCCCTGGGCAACCTGAACAGCCTTTCCCAAGAGGGAGCTGGTGTTTTCCTCCTGATTTCCATCACTTTATCAAAGAGGTCTTTATTGGTTTAGCATTTAAAAGGTTCCCCTCCCCTCTTTGGAGGGGTGAGATTTGGGTGGCGGAGCTGTCTCATTTTACAAAATTCAGGCATGTCCCCAAATCTCTCCAGTCTCTGATATAAACTGAATTTTAGGAAGGAACTTTGAGATTGGGAAATAAAACAGTGTACCATTGTTACACCAATAGGCATAATATTTTCTTTATAGGACTTCATGAGTCTGGCAAAGTAGGCATTTATCAAGGGTGCATTTCCCTTTTCCAGACACCATATTCAATTTTCATCATTCCATGAGTAAAGAACAGGTTAATACAAATGTAAGGACAGCTAATTGCCATTCATCCAAATCGAACTGTTAATTCATTACGCTATACATTTGTTTTATGGGCTTTCACATTTTTGTGTTCTATTTATCAATAAAGACATTATTTAAAATTCAAATGAAATATATATTCTGCTTTTCATTATGCAATTAAGGTAACAAAATGATTCTTGTTATTTACTGCTAGAATCATTTTATTCTTTTAATCACTAAAAGCTATTTTACTTTGTTAACGACATGATACATTTGCAATCAATACTGTGTGTGAATAGTAAAAATGTAAAGGGATGTGTTACGGAATGTAACTTCTTCAGAAATATTTTGGATGAAGTAATTGTCTCTTTAAAACCTGCAATCAGTGGACACTACCAGGAACTCCTCGTAGATAAGGAAATAAATGCCTTGCCATTTTTAATTTTTAGAAATATTTTGACTAACTATATCTCATGACTTTATAAACATTTCACTTGCTATTTTCAAAACCGGACAGAAATTTCTAATGAACTTGGCTCATTCTCATTCGTTGCATGTTTCACAGGACATAAAGAATAAGAAGTACTCACTCTGATGTTTCTCCCAGGATAGACGATGCCCAAATATTTCCTGCCAGAGATCAATACAGACAGGTAAGAATGTAAAATATACAAAGAACTAGGTCTATGTTTTGTTACTTAGTAAATAATTTTGATCTAAATTCTAAAATTAAGATGATATTTGCTGTTAGTGATTTTGTACTTTTTAGAGGACTGTAACCAGCAAATACTCCATGAGACACTAAGGAGACCAATTATCCAATTCACATAGATTCACAAAGTGCCCTGATAAAACAGAATGAGAGTTAGACTTGGAATCAGAACTCTTTTATTTGTGGCACGACCACCTAGCATTTGCCAACCTTAAGTATGATGCCAAACAAGACCCAAATCATCATGCTGGCCGAGTCACTCTCCAGTGTCCCCACCAGCTCAGTGTTTTGTGACATCATTCTCCTTGAGCTTTAAGTTGCTACTATAATTAGAGGATCATGACTTTGGCATCTCTTATCTTTTACACTTCAGCAGTTCCTCCCATTTCTCTTATAAGGTCCAAAACATAACCTTTTTAAGGGATCAAACATTAAAAATTAGGTGAAAATAAGTGTCATATCTACAAAAATATATAACAAAAATAAATTTATAGGTAAAATTGTTATAAAAGTAATTGAAAGTTAATTCATAGCCTTGTATGTTAAAGTTAGATTAAAAAAACTTTTTACCTCTTTAGGTTTTGATGAGATGAAGAAAAGTTTAAGCATTTAATTTGTCTTTATTATAAAATTTCAAATTATTAACTTACACATAGGAAAAAATTTAAGTCATGTCTTAAAGGAGAGAAAGTTTGACACAGCCCACCATGAAAAAAGCGTGATTTTTAAATAGCCTCTAAAGAAGTCTAAAAAAAAAAAATTACCAAGGGTCCAAATATTCTACATGCCTAAGAATTTTCAGTAGCATTGTCTGAATAGTACTTAGTATATATTCATCCCACCAACTTCAAAATGATTGATAATTAGAAAGAAGAGGAACTGTATCAATTCCAAGAGAGACTGAAGCATGACAAATGAAGGTAAAACTTTAAGTCCTCACCTTGTAATGCAAACAGCAGCACATGAAACAAGAAAGCACTCCAAGGTACCATTAAATTGAGTTTTCTCACAATGCTCATTTCAGTGCAGCCTTTCTCCCTGAAATGAAATTCGCACACTGTTGGTCTCACTACGATGGCATCTTAGAAGCCTGAATATCTGTCGTGTGCTCAAATTCAAATAAATACATTTATGGGATAAACTGAAAGAAGAATCCCAGGCTTTCTAACTGCTAGACCATCTGAGGCTTGAGAGCTTGCAGTCAACCCTTTGGCTGAGTCTCTCATTAGCAATGCATGGCAGCTTCTTACCAGAGCCAGTGTCAGTTACACCCTGCTGCACGCCTGCCCACTATACACCCTTTTGGCCTATATCAGCTTTGGATAACTCTGAAAGATTGGAGCATCAAAACAATATGTGTTTAAATACTTTAATGTCACCAGAGAGCCATTATTCCTGAGTGTTGATCTGCTCTCTGTGTTTTAGGCTTTTATTCACAAATTAGTATCCTTTGAAAACAGATGAAATGAAATCCAACCAACTTTCCTAGACTATATACATGTTCTCATTTTTTTTTTCTTAAAGAATTACAAAGTAAATTAAAGTTAGGGCCATGTGTTTTCAACTCGAATCTTACTATGATATAGTTTAAGTTGGCATTTCCACTTGTCCATTACCCTGTAAAACATTCTAGAACAAATGTAGATATTAAAAAGAAAAAGATGTTATTCTAATACCTGGCTTTAAGATAGAAAATAAAACAGCCCACCTGGTCCTGAAAACTTTTCCTTCACATCCAAAATTTCCATCCTCTATGACAAGTACCCAGTTATACAACAAAGAATGATCTCTTATTCCAGCAGTAGGGGCACTCTTCTCTGGAAGCAATTGACTGCCTAGACCAACATCAGAGAAAAGGGCTCATCTTTCATAATGAACCCCACAGAGATTATCTAAGCCACAAAGGAATGAAAACCATGCCTACATAATGGGAGCACACTTCCTACAGCAGATTCGTGAGCTACCTTCACTGTTGTCTCTCAGTAGTAAGAAATGTCTGATTACAGAGGGACCACGCAGTAATTATTACTGTCTTGTGTTACCCAGATACTACTTTTTCAATGACTTCCAAGTCTTCTCTACAAGGTGTCCTAGACATCCAAGCATGTTGTCTAGTCTAATATCCAGTACATAAACAGCTTTCTGTTACTGTCCCAAGTTCAATGCTCACTTACCCTTGCTCTGCAGGGTCTTAGTTTTTCTTTTTCCATTGATAAATAACAGCTAATTCCATGAAACAACAAAAGACATATGCCTATTCAGAAAAAAAAAAGATTAAGCAGAAACACACACACCGACATCACTAAAATCATAAAGTAGCTGCATGCCTTTCTACAATACACATGCACACAGGCAGCCTCATTTTGATGTGTTTAGTAATTTTTACCGAAAAGTTAGTAGTCTATTACTCTTGGACTAATTAAACAATTATCTAAGTCTACAACAGACAATTCACTTGATTTATATTTATATTCTGAATATTAGTTCAGAAATATGTATCTAGTGGGTCATAGTCAAAACTACAAAATAGTCTAGGCTTTTAAGATGTGAATATAGGATAGGCTGAAAAATTAGTGTTGTACTGCATGTAGAACATAATAACCATCCACCAAAGAATTTTCTTATACTAAGAAAAGCAATTTTTATAGAAAATGTTGCATACATCATTACCCTACCCCTTAGCTAATTTACAACAGCTCCTCTTGATTCCATCACATTCCACGTAAGTCGGCCTATAGCAAGTGTATAAATTATACTTCAGAATTGTTTTTCTCCATCTGTACAGCAGAATGACTTTTTTTTCAGAATTTAAAATTTTCAATAAATGATACATATATAGAAAAATCTCAAATTGAAATCAAAGCCAGTTTCATGATTCAATAAAATTATTTGGCTATACTTTTAGTTTTGTCTAATATGTCTGAAATTTGCTGAGGAAAGGTTAGTAAATAACAAATAGAAAGCCATGTGAAATATGTGTATTTCACACTCTACTAGAGAAATCCAATATAAAATTTGATAGCATATGAAATTAATGACATATAGTAACTTAATTTTAATCTCATATACCATACAATGTCTTTTGTAGAAAAACAATTTGCATTTTGCATGAATTTCACATCTCAATTGGTTTGCTCTTTCTTTTCCCACAAATACTCAAAGCCTGTAATATTCTCAACTCTGACTCTTGGAGCTGTTTTAGGATTTCAGTGGACAAAACTGGAGGGGAAGGTATAAAGAAGGAACTATGGCAAAGAAAGCAATAATGAAAATTCCAAGTTCTCTTTCAACTAACTACATTATGAAGTTGTTCCCTGAAATGGTAGTCAGCATGAAAATAAGCAAAATAGACTTCCATGAATAGCTACAATAGAACAGAGTCTAGATGAAAGATTAGGCCCAGAGACACAAAAAAGGAATTTATGACTATGGCAAAGTATGATTATTACTGTCGAAATGACAGCTTTTATATTTCTTTCTACCCTGACAAGGGAACTTTGGTTAAGCTGTGAGTCATCCACCAGTTTATGAAGAGATATTAAGTTCATAAGGAGTCTGAGGCAAGCACAGATTCAAGCAATAAACAGTTCCCTTTCTGCCACAAAAGCACACTGCATTTTCCCACATGGAATATGATCTTCAGAAAGCTGACACCTAACAACCTCTTGGCCTCAATGCAACACATTCAAAGTAACTGCAAGAATGAGAAAATTCTGACCTCATGGTATATATGTCAATGATAAAGGGATACTGTAACAAAATCTGTCATCTTTAAGAGAAGTTTATTTCTTTGACAATTTACATAACACTCATTTACAAGAATTGAGATCAAATCTAAAGTGGTTAACGTCTGACTCCTATAACATCACAATCTACTAGTGAAATCCAATTCTTCTTCACTTGCTTTGCTAAATCTAACATATCCCCTAACAGGCACCGTGATTTTGTCCAGAAGTTGTTTTATAATTTGACCAGAAGGAGACTCGTATCTTTAAAATGAATTTTGCACTCTGAATTCCACTATCTTAATATAAGTTAGCTTGCAGAATTGTATTTATGTTCTTAGGCTATGTGTTATTCGGCAATTCTAGAATGTTACATGTAATTCAATTTAGATGTGAGATCTAGCTTAGCTTTTCTGAATAAGGACATGATGTTTTCACAGGTAGTATCTGTATTGGTCATGATTTCAATTTAAAGTTTAGAATCAGAAGTTATTGTGTTATACGTCCTGGGGACATTCATTTCTCAGGTTGCTGTGGTCCGATTGATTTGCTCTATACAATGTGTAAAGGAGTAATGTTCCTCCAGCTAGTTTGCTCTTGTCAACATCTTAGCACGTGATACAAGATAGAACACATTACTTCAGTACTTCTCTTCATTCATTGAACTGCTACTGCAGTTTTACATTACATGGTGCATTGTGTGTGGCATTAAATAATAAGAATGGAGTTAGCTTCTCATGTCTATGATCCTGTTTATACCTTCATCATTTGTATCTACCTATTTTAGAACTGCTGAGAGAGAGAGAGAGAGAGAATAGTATTTTATTATCTTGAGGAGGAGCGGTGGTGGTTCTAACCCCACTGTTGGTTGTGTTGCTTCTCTCAAGGTGGATTTCCTTAAGGGTTTTACGGTTTTGAATGTGTGTCTATGGCGGGCAAGGCATTTTCCTATGAGAATCTTTTAACATCAGGGTTGAGGTTGCATCAAAAAGGATTTTGTGTCTAGGCCTGCCAAGTACTCCAGAATTTCTTGTTAATTTCTCAGTTTAAAGGTTCTTAGACCATAAAGTATGAATTCAAATCCTGAATTCAAAGTGAAGGAAGTTCAAATCCAGTTCTGTTTCATTTTTGCTTCTGGTAATACCCCTTACATATATGTGAACACATTAAATGATTATTTTTTTGTGGATGACTATTTTATTTGATATTTCTAAGTACTTTATAATTGGCAAATTTTATATCATATAGTCACCATATTGCAAAAAAAAAAGAAATCAAAGACATATTTTTCTTTACAGGTATTTTAAATATTTTCTTTTTATCAGCTTAATTACAGCTTACTTTCTCAGCTTAATTATAAGTTAAAGTTACTTAAAACAACTTCAAATTTATCTTTTTAAAATATTTTATTGCTTTTATTTTATGTGTATGCATATATTGCCTGCATACATGTAAGTTCACCCATGTCATGCAGTGCTTGCAGAGGTCAGAAGAGGGCATCAGATGCCCTGGAACTGGAGTTACAGACAGTTATTAGCCATCATGTGGGAGCTGGGAGTTGAACCTGGGTCCCTTGTAAGAGCAGTTAGTGGTCTTAAGTACTGAGCCATCTCTCCAGCCCTTTAATGTGCTTTCTGAAAAAAAATTAATTTGCAGGGCTAAGGAGACGGCTCAGTAGTAAAGAGCACTGGCTGCTCTTATGGAGGACCCAGGTTCAAATCTCAGCAACCGCATGGCAGCTAACAATTGTCTGTAACTCCAGTTCCAGAGGAATCTGATGCCCTCCTCTGACCTCTGCAGGCATGGGTGCACTTACATACAGGCAGGCAATACACTCAATCACATAAAATAATAAAAAAATTTAAGTTTTTTAAAGAAGAAAGCACATTAAAACAAATCATCCTTGGATCAAAGTGCATAAATTATAAAACCAAACCAATCAGATTCCCTGATGCCATGATTAGATGTTTTCCTGCAACATCAAGATTCCTATTCAAACAGCAACAGCCTGATTTCTCACACTTACCCCACTAAGGAGTGGCAGACCTCAGTTTATCATGTACTTCTCTGAACGTTGATATGGAACCATCTTTGAAAATATGACATTATTGTGATTTTCAGCAAAGCACAGTTCAGCATGAAAACAACAAAAGAAACTAAGCCCTTCATTATGATTTTAGAGTCAAAAGGAAGAAATGCCCCCTTAATCTTGGCATAACCTCCTCCCGACTCTCAGCCTGAATTAGAATCTTACTGAGTTACACGCA